CAACATCTTGCCTCAGAAGCTGAAATATGTTGGCCATATCAAGGGCCATGGCTGAATGGAAAAAAAACATCCTAAAGAATCTGAATATCAAGGAAGATCAGCTTATAAACAGCATGTTCATCACAGAAAATTAAATATCTTGACTATATCAAGGGCCATAACAGATTGGAAAAAAACAAAAGGGAAGACATAGTACCAGGAAAGAGAGGCAGGGTCCAACAATCACAAAGATAGGCACAGGATATAAGTGATGCCTTAGGCAGGAAAGTGCATGAGGCGGGAGAGCTGGTGAGAGATTGAGTTTCTTTCTGTGGTGACAGCAACGTTCTCCAAAAGACATGCTACATGATGGATGGACTACTTACGTAATATCTGCATTTGGGTGAAGACCCAGTGCCTCAGGAGAATCTATAGCAGGCAGATTCTCAATGAAGTCTAAGATTTCTGCCATAATCCGACTGCGAGCAACTTTATAGTTTTTGTAAAACTGGAAGGTGTCAGAGAACATGAAGTCTCCAAACCAAACCTGAGGTGAAAGTAAAAATATATGAACTTGCTTTGCAAGTGTATATGCTGTTATGCATTTAACTCAAATATTCAGACTGAAAGGTGTTTTAACTCTTTCAGTCCCAAACAGTGCATTATGTGCTACTGACTATTCTCCACGTCTCAAACATCACACCAAGTGTCTTCTTATATTTAAGTTTTGGTCAGTGCATACTAAATAAATCTGGCAATCACATGGGTATCTATAATTCATTTTTCATTTCCACAAAACAACAAGGGGTTTGAATTTTCACAGCAATATTTAAGGGGGAAAAAGTCATAATAATTTCTGTAAAACAACATTCCCGTATGAGTTCCCGTGTCTTATTGTGGGGAAAACAAGGATAGACCCACTGCCTCCCAAACAGAGTATATTTGCCCAAGTGGAAAGAAACAACCAGCTGCACATAAATAAGCCAGTAAAATGGATGTCCACGCAAAACTCAGGCTTTGGCTTGAAGCCGAAGTCCAAATGGACGAACAACCAGGACTTTCCACAGGAGTTTACAACCGGTGAACAAAGAAGAAGAGTGTAAAAATCTTATAGGACTGAAGGAATTAAAGTCTAGAGCATGGCTCTTTAACAAAACTCACTCAAAGGTCAAAACTTTGAAGAAATAAAAAATCGTCAAAGCCCAGAAGATAGAGCCCCAGCATACAGATCATTAAACTTCTTCTTCTTCTCTTTCACCATTTACCTCAGTGAGGTGTTGGGGGAGATATAAGGATCATTTGTGTGCTTTTTCCAATGCATTGTACAAGTATTAATACAATACAACACAGTGATAGGTGGGTCACTTGCTTAATTTGGCCTATTGGCAACCAGTTGAAAAGCCCTGGTCTAGAGCAGTGGTTCCTAACTATTTTGACTTGTGAGGCACTTTTTAAAATCAATTTCCAAGGTGCAGCCCCTTAGGCCCACTGTATCGTGTCTTTCAAACTAATGGTGTTTAGAAGTAATGTTACAGAAAGAAGGAAGAGGAGTAGATAGTAAAGTAATGTCTAGTGATATCTAAGCAACAGTGCAAAAATCCCTCTTCTTCTTTCCAACATTCACTACAGTAAACTCTGGTAGAAAGTTCTACTGGAATCCCCTTCCAGCCTGTGTTCTTGATCTACAACTTGAATTTTCTGTGCAAAGATCTGGCTTATTTGTATGCAGACTGTTGGTTTCTTGCCACTCAGGCAGATGCATGCTGACTTCAAGGGAAAACACCTCTAATTAGTCACCTCATACAACACGATTGTTAAGGAAGGCTGGGGGTCTATAGTTTGTCCTATAAAACTGAGCCTTGAAATCCACACAAGGAACAACCATGAGCTGAACAATGCAGTTCAAAAACAGACCTGTGGTCTAAGAGAATAAGACGGACAGCCTGATCATTTCACAACACAAACCTCCAGCATATGTTTAATCATCAGTAGTTAACACTAGAACAGAAATGCAGCACTGACAAAAATATAAATATATATATAATGGATTATCCAATCTATTTATCCTCTTCAAATCGCTGTTGACACATAAGGCATTCACAAGTGATCTCCATTGCACAGATTACACTCCTTTATTTTACATTTTATTGTTCTTCTCCAGGTTTCCTTAGGTCATTTAGGTCTCCTTTTCCCATCTACTGTCCACCGGAGAGCTGTTTTTGCCAGAGTGTCACAAGGCATTCTGCAAACATGTCCAAGCCATCCTCATCGTCTTACTTTGATAACATTTGCCAGTGATGCACATTCTGTTTTCCTCCTAAGTTCTTCATTTGTGATCTTGTTTGGCCAAAATATTTGTAGAATTCTCCTTAAACATTTATTTTGAAAAGTCTCAAGTTTATGTGTAACTCCTGCTATCATTTTCCAACATTCACTATTGTATAATAGTATTCCTAAAATGTTGCTCTTGTATATTCTGAGGTTTGTCTTCAAACTAAATCCCTTTGACTTCCATACATTGTTAAGCATGGATTATCCAATAATGCATGCTAAATAAATTTTGTGATAGTCCTACCCTGGTAAATGTATTGAGAAGACGTTTGTCGAAATCATCAGTGACCCGCCCTCCATACTGGACCTCACCAACCATGTAGCGAACGGTAGGCCATGATATCCCCTGTAAAAATTGTTAGTATTAACAATTTTAAAGCGGAAATTAAGAAATATTATCTAAGTACTCCAAAATTACAACACATGGGATGAGGTGTATGAGAAATGCCTCGGGAAAACAAGAAAGGACAGTCACCAATAAAGAACTAAGAAAAATTTTAGGCACAGTAATGGTAAATGATTTAACAGAACATAAAGAATCAAATGGTTTGGTCACTTGATCAGAATGTAACAAAAATAAGCTAACAGCTAGAGCGTAATAAATTACAACAGCAGGCTACAAGTCAAGAGGCCCACCAAGAAAGGGATGGATGGAGGGAGTGAAAGAGACACTACAGAAATGCAATAACACAAGCTACACAAACAGTAAAAAATCAGGAAACTACATCCAACTCCTCTCTGTGACACTATGATTATTATTATTATTAAGTGCGAAATAATAGTAATAGATCATCGGCAGGTACTCATTACGGTCTAAAGAGAATGGCGTTGCGAGAAGTTACCAGGGGATCTGGGTGACACTCAACACTTAGGGGAAGAGCAAGACAGATATGCAATCAGAAAGTTACTGGTGCCATCGGAATTGGAACTCTTCACTTGGTGCTGAAGATGGGGACGGAGCCCTTATGGGAGTGTCCTGAGTGCCTTGATATTGTCTCTTGATTCAACATTGTGACACTATATGGCACAAGCTGTAGGATAAAGGTTAGTTGCGTATCCATTACAGGATGTTGCAGAACCAGCCCCAGCAGCCACTGGCTGTTGTATGGTTTCTCTAGGCACATTTATTTCCAGTAGTTTGCCATTGCTTTCTGGACGGTCGGCCCCCTGATACCACTGTCGAAACCAACACAAGGCACATGGCCTGCAGCTGGAATCAAACCCGGCACCCCAGCATAACAAAGTGTTCGCATCGACTTAGCCACAGAGCCAAATGTAGGATAAAAGAAGGTTTGGGTTTGGACATTTTGGGCTTAACAAAAATAGTGGTCGTCTTATACATGAGGGCATCCTCTACACAGAAAAATACGGCATATTTTTTAAGGGTCTCTGATGTCAAGTGGTTAACTCTTACAGTTCTGACAAACTTATGACATGTTGTTGTTTGGTAACTCCTTCATCTTCTTCTTCTCCAGCATTCTGAGCCCTTGAGTTTCATTGCTGCAGATATACCCTCCTCCATTCATCTCTCTGGTTGGCCCTCTCTTTCCAGTAGGTGACACCAAGTGTTTGCAGCTCTGTCTGGATATTATTCTGGTTCCTAATTTCCCACCATGTTGTTACATTCACCAACTCAATCTCAATTAGTTCTTTCCTTTCTCTGTTCAGCAGGTTTATTATTCCATCCCCTGCAGACTCTGCAACTGATTGACAGAAAGAACTGAAGAAACTATTGTCTGGTGCCAAGAGAGTTAAACCAGTTTGTTTCATGTCTGGAATGTTATGGCTGTGAGTTTGCACTCCATCTTTTGTTTATGAGTACAGGTGTTTTGCGCTTGCCGCGGATCGGAAGGTCATGGGATTACTCTCTGGTGGAGCCAGACTTTAAAAAAATAATTACCTTGGCTCCCAGGTTGACGCAAAGGCGGCCGAGATGGTGCTGACCACATCATCCATCTTGTGCTGATTGATCTATAAAATACAGGCCTAGCCCCATGTGCCTAAAGGCGTGGAAAAGGGTCCTTTACTCTACTTTAAAGGTGTTTTGGAGAGTGATGCTTACAGCATGCAATATAAAAGTTTAATGCAGAAGGATATTATAATATACTCTGCCTTGTAACAGCCCGCTCAACCCGTTTGAATGAAGAGAGATTGAAAAAATGCATTCAACTTAGTCCAAACAGCACTCGGTCGTAAGTCGAACAGACCTTATATATATGTATGTGTATATATATATATATATTATATACAGAAAAGATATAAAACCGAACAAAAGTATATCAGCAAGCTTCATAATTTAACAAAGACAAACAAAACGTGAATATTGCTGCTATGGAGCCTATGTCAGCACATACATAAATCAAACAATACCACACAAATACACAAAATCACTTAGCTAGTAGCTTATATATATATATATATATATATATATATATATATATATATATATATATATATATATATATATATATATATATATATATATATATATATATATACACCACACACACTCACATACATATGCAAACACACTCACATACACACACTCACATACACACACATACATATGCAAACACACTCACACAAAGAATTAATTAAATATTTTCTTATCACTAAACATGAATGGTAAACAGATTAAAAAGAAATCACACACAATAAACAAACAACAGTGTTAAAATTAGCATGCAGACCCTTTTGATGTCCATATCATCAAGATGGTTTTGGATGAACTGGACACTGGCACCCCAGTCAGAGGTGTTGAACTCATAAGGGATATTCCAGCCCAGAGGACCAAACTTTCGCCGTTCCTGAAAAATTCAGAATGAAATATTAAAAATGTTTACCACAGTCTAGCAATATAACAATTTATAATGTGATACTTAGGCAGATTTGTAATAATAAACAACAAAATTAAAGATCCCTTTTCATGCCTTAGGCGCATCAGGCATATGAGAAGAGCCCCATATTTTTACAGACCAATCGGCACCAGGTGGGTAATGGGGTCAGCATTACGCCGGCCGTCTTTACTTTCCCAGGACATACATCCTGGTACCCATTTTAACCTAGGTTGACCTGCGGCGCCCTGTGCCCTGATAAAAATTCACGCAGCCAGCAGTTGGTTTTGATCGCGGTACTTTGGAATTACGAGCCGCAGATTTTTAATTAACCTGGGTTAATTAGGTCTTTTTCTTCTTCCCCTTTGCGTTCATCGGCTGTAAACTCTGATGGAAAATTCTAGTTGTTTGTCCACTCCTGGACTTTAGTTTTGTTCCAGAACTCCTGAAAATCTGTTTTATAGATCTGGCTTTTTTTTGTATGCAGACTATTGATTCTTTGGCACTCAGGCAGATGCAGTTCAACTTTGAAGGAAACTTAGCTAAGTAGTCGACTTTTTTGATATGATAGTTAGTGAGTAGTGGGTCTATTTTTGTCTTCCCTAATGGGATCTCGGAACTCACACGGAAAGGCTCTGAGGTAAATCCAGGCTCAAATTGGCACAAGCAAGAAGATGTGGTTCTTTATTAATATCCTACCCCAGATGATGTTACAGGACAGTTCAACATTTTAGAGTGTGGTAAGACTGGGTTTCCCGGCTTTCTGATGCTTTTTTAACGACTCCAAAACATCTAGAACTAGCCCTAACCCCAACCCACCTACGTCCAACGAGAAAGTGCAGCCTAGGTCCCATGACTGTGTGCAGCCTATCTGCCACCCTCTAAAATATTAGACTGTCCCGTGACATGTGGATTTCCTCTGTTTGGGGTAGGATATTAATAAAGCACAGAAAATGCCCCAGGATGTAAAGTCGACTGACAGGATAGTGAACATATGTTTCTTCCACAGCCAGCTGGTCTATACAAATATAAGTTCAGTACCTTTTCCAAATCCAGATGCAGACCGGACTTTTTGTTTTCAGAAATGACCTTAGCTCCCAGCTCGACCCAGCCTTAAATGAAAAAAGTCCTGTCCTGGAAAGTAAAGTCGTCCAGCATGATGTTTACCACATCACCCAATGAGTGCTGACTGGTCTAAAAATTTAAAGGTTTAGCACTATATGACTAATACACCTGAAAAAGTGAAATTGTAGAAATCAGTTTTTGTTTTCTCCTTTGTTTTATTCTGTTGCCTAATGGCATAAAAAAGGTCCTTTCTGTTAGTAATTAACAAAATAATCATTGTGATATACAACATTTGTGTTGAGTAGATCAGAAGCATGATATCTGTGCCCCAGCTTGGGGGGGGGAAAAAAAACCCCAGGTTGAAAAGTAGCTGAAGACAATATAAACAGGGGCTTTCTTTTTTTCCCCCCAGAAAAGCACGCTGATGACATAATACTGGTTTATGCTGCTCAAAGTGAACAACAACATACAAGTTCTCCTCGATTTACAACAGAGCGCTGTACCAAATTACATGTCATAAGTCAAATTTTTCGTGAGTCGAACTTCTATTTTTCAAAACTTTTTTCCTCAAAACAGGTTATATAATTGTACATAAAATAAACAAATTTAATAAGTCATTTTTGAAAGAAAAAATATGGCTCCATCAGGACCTGAGCCCATGACCTTCAGATCCGCAAATGGAGGATATTCCAAATAATACATGCAAACTCTTTCAGACCCAGATCCGTGTTTCTTTGCCTCAACTTCCTAAGCCTTAGTTACTTAAAGCAATAGTGTATGTGTCTGAAAACATTCAAATGATAACACAACAGGGATAACACAATGGGACAAATGGAACTGATCTATCAATTTGGACAGAATAAGTTACAGACATAACTGGGTAGGGTACAAGGCACTCAGAAAGGCAGTTTATGCTAGGTATTTCTAAAAAAAAAAAAAATATAAAAAAATATAAGGAGACAAAGTTCTTTCACCATGTGATCAGAAAAGGAGCACTGGAGAATACTGTGATGACTGGAAAAGAAAAATCACTGGTAGAAGAGGCAGAAGCAGACCAAGAAAACTGATTGTGGATGGCTTAAGACAGTGACAAGGAGGAATAGCATTAGTGGAACTGAACCAGAACACTTAAGACCGAGATCAGTGCAGATACATCAGCGCCTACGCTAGGTGACAAGGCATACTATGATGATGATGATGAATTAAACAAAAAAACAACTCTCATATGCTTGAGCTAAAGGAACAAGAAAAAGAAGATTAACATTTGATATCAATAAAAGGAAATCAAAGTGGTCAAGTCATTTGCCTCACACTCTGAAGGTAATAGGTTCATTTCACAGCTGCGCCCTTCAGTTCATGAGTGCACTTTTTCTCTCGTATTGTCACTGGAGATACAGAGTTTGTGCTCTGTGCAGCGCTCTCCCAAAGCAGCTAGCTGTTCTGCGGAGAGAGACTGAGACATATTGGATAAAACCCGGTGCAATGAAGTCGATCCTCTCAACTTTAGCTACAAAAGGAAATATGAGATAAGTTAAAGAGAACAGAACCTCATAGACAATTAAGTAGAAAGTGACAGAGATCTGTTTCATTGTTCATAAACAATACCAACAAACCTCACCTGCACCACAGTGTGCAGAAAAGAAATGGTGTAAAGAAGTGGACGCCACTGAGGCAGGTTGAAAATGTCAATGTATTCCTGAGTCAACCCTGTGTATGTCCTCTTCAGTCCTGCTTTAATGCCTTGAGGTGGATCATTGGTGAACTTTATTGAAATCTAAACAAAAATGAGCAATGTAATGAGCTAATCACATACAAATACAACGCTCCAAGGAAATATGTTAAAGTGCAATTAAGTCTTGATTTTTCATCATCATCATCAGGCAGCAGATTGTTTGTAGAATGTTGCTCTCATCACAGTCTGCTTGAAAGAGATTTGGTCTCTTGCCAGCTCTCCTGTATTGTGCATTTTCCTACTCAAGGTGTCACTTATATTCTGTGCCCATCTTCATGCTGGTCGGGGCTTTACTTTAAAAAAAAAAGTTGTTGATGATTGCTCTGTTTATGTTATTAGACACTTTTATTTTTGTGGATTTTTTTCTCCAAGTTCTTCTTAATAATACTTTGGATTTTTCTTTTTTTTGTCCTCGTCTTAATTTAGTCCCACCAATTAACGCATGACGTGTGATGGTCTCTTATCATATGCCTACATGAATCCTGATGATCGCATTATGTGTTTGTTTACGTCTAGTTAATAAAAAAATCTGGCCATTTCCACTGCACAGTTAGTCTCTGTGAAATGAATGCATTCACAGTTTTATAATAGTCATTTCCTGTCCTTCCTGGAACATCTCCTGCCAAAACTTCTGGTATCGAAAGAGTTAATCACTGGCTATCTTCCGAATAATGGTCCCAAATTATCGAGGCCAAAAATAAACCCTAACAGGGCCTCAGTCACATGTCAATTTCGGATTTCCGGTGACTTAAATTGCGCACTTCCTGCGACTTCCGCCACCACCGAGAGTATCTCAGACGCTACGCACGGCGTGGATTAGGGCTAAACTGGATGGCTAGGACTCATGAGCAGCAGCTATCGCATGTCCTGCAGCTTCCTTAATTTTTTTTGCTTGTGAGCCCCAGCCATCTATTTTAGCCCTAATTCATGCAGTGTGTAGCGGGGCGGGAGATACTCTCGGCGGTGGCGGTATAGTCCCCGGAAGTCCGCAATTCGGTGGTGGTGGTATAGCCCCCGGAAGTCCGCAAATGACATGTGACTGAGGCCCTGTTAGGGTATATTTTTGGCCTCGATAATTTGGGACCTTGGCCTCGATAATTTGGGACCCTCATTCGGAAGATAGCCTAATCACTTTTTATTTGGGGTGGGGGCTGGGGCGGTGGGGGTGCAGGAATCCTGCCATTTATAAAAGGGAGCCACCATATTAAAAAAAAAGGTTGAAAACCACTGCCCTGGTTATTCCTCTAAGTCAACAATAAATGTTTCATGAGTTTACTGTATAGAAAGAATTACAACATCCACTCCTATCTTGACTGGCTGGCTATCATGCACAACAAATGTCTCATTACCTGCAACAATCCTATGGAAAAGGAGTTGTGCACCTCAGTAGTGATCCACAGTCTGAATTTGGGATGTACCGGTTCAGCTTCCAAAACGGTGACTAGAACCTCGTCTAGATATCGGAGACACAAATGGCAGTTCTGCAACAATGCCCAGCCTCCCTGTTGTTGAGGATGTTAAGCAAGCAGCAGGAATTTGTTACCACACAGGTAAGCAAGCAAGTTCAATTAAGATTTTATAGAAAGTAAAGTAATTGATTAGAAAAGGAATTTAACTAGAATATTTAAAAAGAAAAAAGTGCAATATTTTTAGATCAAAATTTTGAGTTAGACACATACCCATTAAGCACATTTTATAACTGCCATGTAAATCTGCCACGAATTATGGAAAGATGTTTTAGGCTTGAAACTCAACTTATACAACATTATTTCTGGTAAATAAATTTTAACGCACTCAACTTATACAACATTATTTCTAGTAACTAAATTTTAACGCAAACGACTGGAGTTTTATATACGCACGTACATCATGCATGCAGGCACACAAGCATGTTCTCTCTCTCTCTCTCTCTCTCTCTCTCTCTCTCTCTCTCTCTCTCTCTCTCTCTCTCTCTCTCTCTCTCTCTCTCTCTCTCTCAGAATTCACACACTAAAAATGCTGACATAAAGAAATCCATACAGACAGGGTTATTACCTATACAAATGTACTACTTATTTATACTTACAGTCTCCATAAAATTTGAAATCAGTTTTCTTGAATGAATTTCCTGTCCTTGTCCCATGGAGATGGCATAGTATGCTGTAGTCAGAATTTTACAGCTGATCAATTTCATATGTAATATGCAGAGAGATAAATATCTGGATGGCTTAGCTATATTAATGGGGAGAGACAAGAACCTCGACCTGATCTCTGACACTGGTGATGGTGTAAAATATAAAAGCTTTCACTGATCAGCATGGCACATGATGATAGTGATGACCATTACAATTTTGTGTATCAGCTCCCTTGAAAAACAACTGATGTCTGTATGAGTTGCTTTTGGGCATAATTTATTTCATTTACACCTGTATCAATAAAGAGCTTAGGGCAATACCGTTGGGACACTTCTCAACAACACCCCTATCAACACAGAACATATAGTCAAAAGAGGTAATTTTTGGGCATTTTTCAGCTACAACTGTATCAATATCAACCCGCCCAGCTCGCTAGCATAGCTGGTTAAACCAGACTTTGCGGTTATCGGGTGACGAACTCCTTGTGGTCCGGGTTTACGCCCGGGGGTAGGCAGAAAAGCCACATTTCTCCTACATTTACGGTTATCTATCATGGAATCAAGGCCAAAAGGTTGCGATATCCATAGTACCGAGCCAAAGGGTTAACAACTCATGGTTTCTGGATACATAAAAGAAACATTTTCAATATCAACACAGAACATATATTCAAAAGAGTTAATTTTGGACATTTTTCAGCTAAAACTGTATTAATATCAACAAAGAACACATAATCAAATAGAGAACAAAGGGCAATAAGAGTTACTTTTGGGTCGCATTTCCCAATTATATCTAAATAAACATATGAGATTACTTTTGGGCAACAATTCCCAACAATGTCTGTCTTTGTCAGGTTAATACTTTTGGGCAACAGTTCCCAACAATGTCTGTTCACTTTAATACTTTGGGGTAACAATTCCCAACAAAATCTCTGTCAGGTTAATACTTTTGAGCAACAGTTCCCAACAATGTCTGTTCACTTTAATACTTTGGGGTAACAATTCCCAACAAAGTCTCTGTCAGGTTAATACTTTTTAGGCAACAATTCCCAACAATGTCTGTTCACTTTATTACTTTAGGGCAACAATTCCCACCAATGTCTGTGTCAGGTTAATACTTTTGGACAACAATTTCCAAAAATGTCTGTTCACTTTAACACTTTGGGGCAACAATTCCCAACAATGTCTGTGTCAGGTTAATAGTGTTATGCAACAGTTCCTAACAAAGTCTATGTCAGGCTAATTTTATGGCTCTTCTCATTGCAGTAAGATTGTATATAAATACAGAGTGTCCCACAAGATGTCCCACAACTTTCCATATTGAGGAAACGTTAACCCATCATCAACATCATTACAAGCATAACTCCAGCTGTGCTTACACTTCTTCAGTAAACAAGTCAAGTAAAAGTAAAGTCCAAAGATGTGAACCAGCATCATTGCACGAAGTTATAAACCACAAGCGCTCTGCCACGAGTACTGACAGCTGATAAGAAACTGTCCGCCTGTGTTGCTGTCCGCACGTAACTCTGTAGCTACAGCGACGTTCCTTTATTTACCCTAGAGTGTCAACGTGTCAATTCTGGTACCCATTTCCTAGAGGATGGGTGAACCCCGGGAGCCACCCAGTTTCGAACACCAACCGTGGCTGCAGTGAATCGCAGCTGGATTTGAAAGTGAGCCTCGTATCAACTGCCCTAACGTGGCCCTTAGTGATGGAGGATACGAACTGAAATGCGTTTAAAAAAACAATTGTAGTCACGTAGAGCATACTGAAGTAAAGGTCCTTTTACGCGCCTTTAGGCAGATTGGGAATTTAAGGCAAGACCTAAAATTCTATAGACCAATCGGCACTTAGTGGGTGATGTGGTCAATATCATGCCGGCCGCCTTTACTTCCCAGGACTGCACCTGGTACCCACTCATGGCTGGGTATACTTCGGAGTCAACGTCATTTCTGAAGTACAGCATATTATGTAAATAAAAATGGTTTTCATTAAAAAAGAAAAGATTAGATTTCCTATGTATGCACACCTGTATAAGTAAATGCTACTCCCCACCCTCTTTTTAAAACAGAAATATATTGTTAGTCCCAAATGTGTACAGATCAGTTGACACCTGATGGGCGATGTGGTCAGTATTACATTGGTCACTGAGTTGTCCTCAGAGACACACACACACCCACCCTACCCACATGCATGTGCGCACACACACACACACACAGAGCGAGAAAGTGAAAGAGCGAGAGAGAGAGAGAGTGTAATATCTAATAATAACTTACGAATTTCCAATCTCTTGGACATATTTTCAATTGCATTGGTTGGGTCCGAACCCATGGACAGCAGTGCAATCAGTGGTATACGAGGGTTTGTTTCTTCTAACATGGCTTCCAGATCCAGTATAACAGCCTCAGTGAACTTGCGGCCCAGAGAATGAGATATGAACTCTCGGGCTTGCACTGATGTGCGGTCGGGGCACCAGGATCTGCAACAAAATACAAGTGTTGCCCTAACAAGCAGGTCTACATCAAAGAATACATGCAGAAGTACAAGTGTATATGCCGATTGTTATGGCTGCTAAGTTTAAAACAAAATTGCTCTTTATCATTCCTTTTCTACTTTAAAATGTGAATGAGGGTCTTGCCTTGAAGATTACTATGCCTAGGTGAAGAAAAATTACACCCTATACACAAACCTGCTCACTAAGCAAGAAACATATCTATCTTGTAGAGATGTAGAGACAGAGAGAGAGAGAGAGACACACACACACACACACACAGAGAAGGGGTATGAAGGGCATAAAGGGTTGTCAACATATGAACTGATACATGAAGTTGCAGATTGTGGAGAGGCACGATCACCAAAGCAAGTAATGATGGGCCACACACACACACACACACACAAAACTGCAGTTTATTTTGAAATATGGTCTTAAATCTAGACTCAACAGGTCATCAAGACTCCCTGCCACCCAACAGCCCTCACATCCTACATTTTCCTCAAAAATTGAAGCACAGGCAGTAAAGACAATTTGTTTTTCTAAAGGTCCTTTTATATGCCAGTGGCACATCAGGCACATGAGGCTAGAATCATGTTTAAAAAAAACTAATCAGCCCTCAGCCGGTGATGTGGTCAACATTACACATGCTGCCTTTACTTCTCAGGACCTTTCCTGGTACCCATTTAAGGCTGAGTTGACCTGGCAGCCAATATTTTGTTTGAAAAACAATCCAGCTAAATGAGGACTTGAACCCACAACCTTCAGACTCAAAAGAATTAATTGTGAACACTAAAAGCAAAGACCCCACCTTATAAGTAACAATTTGTGGAAGGGCTCCAGTGTGTTGCTGTAGTTCTCTGGAATTGTCTCCTCCTCAGGTGCAGGCTTGTCATACCAGTTTTTCCATCCTTTGTCATTGTTGACAACCTGTAGAATATAACGTTTTAACTCTTTAAATCCAAATAATCTGATTAGTGAGGTAGGGGTATCCTCTATCAAAAGAGATGTAAGACGCCTCCTTTCCTCCATTATAGTCTACGCGACACTCTTGGGCAAGGTGGAGTACCCGTTTAGCTACCCAATCAGGGTTACGTGAAACCATGGAAGCTGGTGGTGGATGGAGTGTGAAAGCAGCCGACAGATTGTTGTTGGTTATGGTCATGCACTCTGCGGCAATAAGCAGATCATCTCATCAGCAGAGACAATAGCTACGGCCACCAACTAGTACAGTCACTGCTCAGAAGAAAAGCAATGGTAGACTACCTTCTGCAAATTGTGCCAAGAAACTGTAACAGCCAGGAAAGTGTATAAATGCCTTTAAATACAAATGTTATAGACAGGTTCTAAAAATATCATGGGTAAAGAAAAGAACAAATGCATCCATACTTTAATGACTGAATATTGAAGAAGGTTGGCTATTAAAGATGATAAAACATAGAAAATTGAAATATTTTGGTCACTTGAAACGTCACAAAAGTTTAGAGAGAACAATAATGGAGGGGTGTATGCCTAGGAAGAGAGGAAGAGGAAGGCCAAAAAGAAGATGGGTGCAGGATAAGACGGGTGATCTCCAGATGGGTGTATCGGACGCGGGAAATATTGCTTGTGATCAAGAAGTTTTCCAGAAGGTTTTTATGGCAGCATTGTTCTGCAAAGGACACGCTAATGACTGACTTACTGAATCCAAATGATATAATGTTTTATTGCCTCATCCCTGAAGAGTGGCTGGCCGAACTGTTAAAGGGCACTGAGCTCTCGCGTGTAAGACCTGGGTTCGAAAATTCAGTAAGGTTGTGAATTTTCTTCTATTGGGGGCAAAAATAAAGCCCGAGCCTGAACATTCCAGGGCGACAGCACTAGCCATAGGGCCCTAAATTCTCAGGCTCAAAGCCCCCTCCCTCACCCTGCCTACACCGCAAAAAAATGGTAAATAGAGGCAGTAATGGGTACTAGATTGTTCTAGATTCATTGAGAAACAGTAGTTCAAGTAGTTTGGGCATCTCGTTAGAATGCAGCAAGATCAATTACCATCACAAGCACTACATCTCAGAAGATCAGTTACAAGAGCAAGAGGATGGCCACAGAAAACATGGATCGACAACATTAAAGACACTCTACGCCTTCACGGCATGACAATAGCCAGTGGCAGCCAACGTGCACTGGATCGCAAAATTATTCCTCCCCACGAGGCTTAACGGCAGAAGTGGTTTATGATGATGATGAATGACAGCCTTTTTACGGCCTCACTCCTAATGACTTTCCATAGTCATATAAAATATTTTATTACATAGGGTTGTTTTCCTGGAGCCTTGGTCAAGCGGCTAGATGCTCACCAGTGGATAGGAAGGTATTGGGTTCTGTTCCTGAGGAGGGCCGGATTTTTTTCAAAAATGACCTTAGCTCCCAGGTCAACCAAGCCTTGAGTGAGTACCAGGTGCAGTCCTGGGAAGTAAAAGTGGCAGGCATGATGCTGACCACATCACCCACCAAGTGCCATTTGTTCTATAAAACATAAGATATATAAATTTAAATAAATATATAAAATATAGGTCTAGCCCTATTTACCCAATACGCATGAAATGCGTGGAAAAGGTTTATTTATCTACTTTCTTTGCGTTTATTTTCCAATGACCACTTATACTGTGTTATACTGTGCATTTACTGTGCACAGCAAAAAGCTCATGATTTCTTGATGTTTTTACAGCAAACTGTCAGTGTCTGTAAACACACTTAGTAATTCTGAGATACCCAGTTTTCTTCTAGCCATGCACGACATTAACAGACTGCCTTGTGTTAATTTCAACACTAGCATTGAGAGCTGACTATTTAGTTGGCAATGATAAATTATTGAATCCATTATGGCCTTTTGGGAGGGACAGAGGAAGACATACAGTCACGTCTGAACAAAGCTAGAGCTGCTTTTGGAAGGATGAGGCAAATCTGGAAATCCAACAATTACTGCAGAGGAACGAAACTCCGACTCTACAAGAGCATCATTTTGCCAGTTCTTCTTTATGGAGCGGAATGCTGGAGAATGACCAAAAAAGATGCACACAATCTGTCCACCTTCCACCACACATGTCTACGTAGAATTATCAAAATTTTCTGGCCAGATACAATCTCAAACACTAAACTACTTCAAGCCACAAACCAAGAAACTTTAGACAGTATGATTACCAAGAGAAGATGGAAATGGCTTGGCCACATTATGAGAATGACTTCTGATATACCTGCCAAAACAGCTCTCACATGGACACCAGAGGGAAAGAGAAAACAGGAGCGCCCAAAAACAACATGGAGACGAACGATGGAAAGTGACCAGAGTGCGGCATCTTTGACATGGAAAACTGCACTGAAGATTGCACAGGACAGGAAAGCATGGAAAGTCCTCTCTTAAGCCTCATGTGCCACTAGGCATAACGAGAACTGATGATGATTATGGCCTATTAAAAAACAGAACGGCAAACTAATGCTGGAGGTTGGTTCTGCTAGGTCCTGTAACCAATACACAACTAACTATACAGTACAGTCATACAAACAAGAACTTCAAGTGTCCCGAAAAATCAATATTCATGTTTGAAAATGTGTGTTAACAAGGGACTAACTGATTTATTATGAATTACACATCTCTGCTCGGACCAAAATTGTATTTATGTTAAGGGAGTGTTCATCTTAAGCGAGTTTACATTAACCAGGTTTTTATTGTACTGTGGTTTTACTGGTTGGGCTTCTGCCAGCAAACCTTTAGAATAAATAAGACTTCTACGATGAGGTGTACAGTTTAAGAAGTTTGATTTATTAAATGCACGGCTATTCAACTAGCAGCCCGTGGGCCAGATTTGACCCGTGGAGGCCAAGCAAGTGGCCTGCGGATCACTGTCAGCTGTACTGTAAAAATGACCTTTCTATGCTGGATCTCGGGCCTTTGGCTTGTGAAGATCCACATTTTCAGAATGTTGGCCACTGAGTAAGCTTAAGTGATAAGGGGGCTGAGTAGTCTCGAGGTATGGCATCTGCCTCAAGTGCGGGAGGTCCCAGTTTCAAACCCCGGTGAAGGCTGGGATTTTTTCATGTGGATTTCTAGTAATTTCCCCTGGTTTCTGTGGAGTAAGACTTGATGAGCTTGTGTAATGTTGCACACGTAAAAAATATCTTGGCAGCTGGAAATTGAAAAAGAGTAGCCTAACAGCGCTGCCTGGGCAGAATTTGGAGTTAAAAATCTATCCAAAGTGTTTCAGGATCCTCTTAAGACTCAGGCTTGAGTCAGAAGTAGAACGGAGCCCTTATGGGTTACACCCATGTGTCATGATGTTGATCCGTTTAATAAACATAAACATAAACTGAACAGCCCTGATTTATAGGATTCATTTTTGTATTTCGTTATATGTTGTGTAAACTGTGTAGTAATACAACTTATGAGATACAGCACCAAAAAAATTGTACAATTTATTGTTTGTGTCGTGGGCTAGGCATTAGTTTCACAATTTTACAGTCCTTGTTGTATCAGGGTTCAATTCTTGTGCTAGACATTTAAATTAAAAAAATTTTTTTTTTTTTTATTGTGGCATTCAGATAGTAGTACAATATTTCAGAAGCAAGCAGTAAATAGAAAAACACGCTGGTGGTTATCACAAAGAACCTTCCTGTGTAGGCTCGAGGGCCCAATTGTGGGGACAACAAAAATAGGCCCACTACCTCCCAAATAAGCATGTCGTAAGAATTGACTAGCTGGGGGTTTCCTCTGAAGTCAGAGTGCATCTGTCTGAGAGGCAAGGGACCAACAGTCTTTAAATAAGTCAGATCTGTAAAACGGATGTACACACAACACTCAGGTTCTGAAACAAGTCTCAAGTCCAGAGGTGAATGAATAACCAGCTTTCCGCCGAAGTACAGCCGGTGAATGCAAAGAAGAGAAAGACCACAAAGAATCTAAAAAAAAAAAAAAGATAAAAAAAAAATAATCACCACACAGAGCTGAGGGGGAAAAAAGTATGTGTAAAAAAAAGTTCCAGTACTGCACACCAGAAAAAAGCACTGGACACAGCACACAATTTAAAAACATTTAAATCATTAACTATACTAAATTTAAAATCACAAATGAAGAAAGTTAAAGTTAGTTGCGTATCCTTTACAGGACGTTGCAGAACCAACCCCATCATTTTTTGGCTGTTGTAGTTTTTCTAGGCAAATTTACATCCAGTAGTTTGCCATTGCTTTCTGGACAGTGGGCTTCTCGATACCACTGTCTAAACCAATGCAAGACGCAAGGCCTGCAGCTGGGATCAAACAAAGCACCCCGGCATTACAATGCTGGCTCGCAATGCCTAAGCCACAATAGCCGACATATGAAGAAAAACAACACTAAATATTATTGATCGATGATAATTAATGTGCAGACATGGACAATATTGTTTAACAAAAGCAATACCTGACTGAGTATTCTTCCTCTTCTTTCGTTCGCGTAAAATAAGTTGTCTATATCAGCAATTTCGTCTCTTGTATAAATTTCACTGTCGTTGTTAGTTCATTCAGTGGTCCATAGAGTTTACATTCCACTGTTGTTCTTTCTCGCCAAAAGGTTTGCCTTAATGTGTCAAATTTGGTGCAGTCCTGGAGTAAATGCTCTGCTATCTGGGGCACCTTTCTACAGGTGCACATGACTGATACACCTATCTTGAATTTTGTGTAAATGTGGTTATGCAATCGGTTGTGTCCTGTTCTGAGGTGGAGGATAATTACTTGTTCTGATCGATCCATAATAAAATAGTCATCTTGTGCTGGGGCTGGTGGTTTCCTGATCGATTTAATGATTGTTTTCTTCTGGTGGTATGTGACTGGTACATCCAGCTGCACTTTTGTCACACCTTCTCCTGCCAGTTGATCAGCCTTCTCATTTCCAGGCATTCAACAATGTGACGGTATCCACTGCATTACGACTTTTCGCTGAAGGCTGAGTTGTCTCAGCAGTGTTTGCAATTCTGGTATTTAAAAAAAAAGAAAACTCGAGTGCTTCAAGTACTGATTTTGCATCGGTCAGCATTACCATATACTGTAAGCCAAGATTGGTATTTAGCAGTTTCTCTGTTGCTATCTTGATAGCCTGAGTTTCTGCATCATAGTTATGGCAGTACTTCCCAGTTGGTACGCTGGACTTATCCCTAGTACCATCTGGGATTTCTAGGTACACTCCAGCACCCCCATTTCTAACTGCACTTTGTGCGAACCCATCTGTACAGACTCTGACCCATTGTTCTTGTGGGTATTCTTCATCAATATAACTGAGGGTGGCCATTCTGCATTGTACACTATCTTGTTCTTTCTTGTCAAATACTCCTTTCACATTTGTCTGGATGTGTACCATTAGTTTGCATTTTTCTCTCTATGGGGTTTGTTATGAAATACTTTTAAGTGGACAACCAATTTCTGGAAGGTCAGCAGTTTGTCTACATATTCTTTTTGCTTGGTGCATAAAGCTGCTCCTTTTTCACCTTCCCAAGGCTAGGTTCTGGAATTTATTTTTCATGTGGTGATCTGGCATACTGAGGAATTTTTCAGCTTGTATTTGCAACTTTGTATCTCTGTGTTCTCTCAGTGCTTGTGTTTTCCAAGCTTTCTCAATTTCTAATATGGGGGTTGATTTCATCCCTCCTGTGATGACACTGAGTGCTTGATTTTGCACTTTGTCTAACTCCTTTAATGTGCTACTAGATGCTGAACACCATTCAGTTGACCATATTAAAAGTGTGGTTGTGTGCTCTGCATGTATACTTTATTAAGTATTTTCCCACTGGCTCCCCATGTGGTTCCACTTAGTTTTCTTAGTATGGCTTTAGTTGCTGCCTATTTGATATGTTTTCTCCACGTCAACCTGTCATAAAATGACACTCCGAGGTAGTGTGCTCTTTATCATCTCTTAGGGGTATTCTGTTTTTTTTAATGATGCCCGCTTTTTGCTTTGGGGAGAGAGTGAAGAGTATGGTGCTACATTTGTCTGTATTAATGCTGACACACCATCTATTCGCCCATGCATCAAGTGCATATGTAGCCCGCTGTAGTGTTCTTGTGGCTATTGTTGCTTGTTCATTGGTACACCACAGTACCAGGTTGTCGGCATACATTGCCATTTTGATTCCATTTGGTATCTCAGCAACCAGGTCGTTAATGAATAAGAGGAAAAGTGTGGGCGACAGGACACCACTTTGAGGGACACCTTGTCGCAGTAGAACTTTTTTACTTTGACTGAGTATATTGTTCAACAAAAGCAATACCTGAGTATATTGTTTAACAAAAGCAATACCTGACTGAGTATATTGTTTAACAAAAGTAATACCTGACTGAGTATATTGTTTAACAAAAGTAATACCTGACAGAGTATATTGTTTAACAAAAGTAATACCTGACTGAGTACATTGTTTAACAAAAGCAATACCTGACAGAGAATATTTTTCAACAAAAGCAATACCTGACTGAGTATATTGCTGAAAGTTGGCAAATTGCTCAGCTGAACTAAATTGAGCCACGTCATGTCTGAGATCCATCTGGCTGGTTTGGGGGCCACAGCATTCAAGTCCAAAGCTGCTCCACCTGTGGATACATTACAGAGGTTAGTTAACGCTTTTAGTCTATGAAACTTTCAAACAATGAGATTCATTTTTTTAATTAACTCTTTCAGTCCATGCATCTTTCAAACAATGAGATTCATTACTTCATTTACTCTTTCAGTCTGTAAAGGTTTCAAACCACAAGATTCATTTTTCATTAACCTTTTCAGTCCATTAAACTATCAAACAATGAGATTTATTATTTCATTAACTCTTTGTAATTAATTGTTGATAATTCCACTATACTTGTCTTTTTTTATTATGCTTGTCACAGTCATCCATGATATGGATGGAATATAGCTCTATGTGATGTATAATGGCTACACAGATGATGATAATGCCAAAGTCATGGTGGCATAGTAATTCCTGTCCTATTTTTCTGTCCATATAGTGGTTTGGGTTTGATCCACATCAGATGCCAAATTCATATCCCTCCACCACTGAGCCTGACCCAGTTTTATAAAAATAAGTACCACACAATTTTCATAATTTTCTGGGAATTGTTGGAGGGTGGGGAAAGTGAGTGGGGAGGGAGAATACATAAAAGAACTGACCACCCTCTCTAAATGTCACAGCCATACTTTTGTAATACTCATCCTGATGAACTTATTATCATTTACAAATATTCAAATCTCAAAAAGGAATACATTCCAAGGTTAATTTGTGTGCGTGTGTATATGTACGTACATACATGTGTGCCTGTGTGTGTAAATGATACCACAGACCTCTTACATTTATTCTATGAACCCCTGGTGGTTCACAGCTTACCAGAAGGGAAAAGTATTAAAATATAGGAAAGCCTATTTGTTTCCCCAGGTCACCCTGATGTTTAACATGGCCAAAATACCTCACCTTTCGGGGCAGGATGTTGATTATGAGCCAGTTTTTCTCAATGTTCAGATCATGTAATATGTCAGTGTTTTTCTTCTTTTGTTTTGTTTGGTACATGGTATTCTGAGAACTTTTATGTAACATTTCAAAACATTTCAATTCAAAAAGCTCCAAAATTTGTATTCATTGACTGAGTACGTAGATCTATGACTCAAATCCATACATCGCCAAAGGAAAGATACATGATCTCAAACTATGCAAAAGATACTGATAAAAAAGATGTCATTTTCAGTGAGAGAAACAGCACTGAAGAGCTGTATAGGAACTATCTTATTGTAAATATGTTAGACATGGGCAATAAGCAGAAAAGTTGATAAACATCCACTCACAGCAAAGATGTGGTTTTTCACAACAATGCAAATTTCACCGAATGACAGTCTGTGTTTCTTGGGCATGTTATGAGAAGGAATCGACTTTGGCAATATCACGGACATGATCCGTGACTCTAGTGATCATGTCAAATGGCGAAACATGACCATCTTTGCCAGGGCCATTCAACTGGCGGCCCGTGGGCCAAATCTGGCCCTTTGAAAGCCTAGCAAGTGGCCCGTGGATCATTGCCAGTTGCATTGTACTAATGAGCATTCTATGTTCGAAAATGTGCCTCTGGCCCGTGACGATTCCCATTTGTAAAATGTTCACCCCTGAGCTAACTTAGATAAATAGCCCTAATTTATTGCTAGTCATTTATATAATAAACCAACCAACAATGTATTAACTGGCACTCAATTAAGATTCAGCATCTGTGGCTTAGGCACTGTGAACATGCTTGGTAATGCCGGGATGCCGGGTTCATCTCAGCTGCAGACGATTTGTCTTGCGTTGGTTTTGACAGTAGATCCGAGAGCTGACCATTCAGGAGCAATGGCAAACTAATGAATGTAAAATTTGCCTAGAAAAACCACAACATCCACAAAATGCTGGTAATGCTGATATGCAATTAACTCTAACATACTAAGAAGTAGAAGATGGAAGGGCACAACAGACAACAACAAAAGTGTGTCTAGTGTGTATATTTAATGTGTTCTTCTGTCTTTCGACTTCTTTCTACGAGTGCTGATTAAGACATTTTCTGTATGTTTAATATATGTATATATATATATATATATATATATATATATATATATATATATATATATATATATATATATCAAAGTCAAAGCCTTAAGGGTTCGTCTACTAATTATTTATGTGAATTTCTATGCTAATCAGCAAGGTGCATCATAATGATGATGATGGTTACTTATTGTCCAACATTCATAGATACAGAGAAGAACAGACCCCGACTGTTTACAAAATATTTTAATATTTTTAGATAGAAGGACACAACAGACAACAAAAAAGTGTGTCTTCAGTGGGTATATTTAGTCTGTCCTGTCTTTCGACTTCTTTCAATGAGCGCCGATTAGGACATTGTCTGTATGTTTATTATATATATTATATTTCTAATGCCTCAAGGGTTCCTCCTCCAATTTTTATGTGAAGTTCTATGCTAATAAGCAGGGTACAGGGTACAGACACAACTCGACTGGTTACAAAATATATTTTAGTACTGGTGATGTTCTTTCTGTTGACTTCAACAATCACCTTTAATGAACACTTGAAACTCTGACTGTTTGACAGTTCCCTTTGCCAGGTCAATCTTTATAGCCAGGAGAAGTGTGAACATCAGCCGGTCCTCATTATAAAGAGTACGTGACGTGTAACACCAAACTTCGTAGGTCAAGTATTCAATTATGTTGCCAATACGTATCTGGTTTTTGGGGTGAGGTTTTGACCTAAAATAAAACATAGAAAATAGGAAATCAGAAAAAAAATGTATTATGTTAAATGTGATTTTATAATGTACATCAGCAAGTTATTTCTTACAACAGCTTTGCTATGCATATTATTGTACAGACTCAGAGTAAATTTATATAAATAGACTGTAAAGACCCTTAAAACTGGATTATGACCTACCATACTTGTCATATATATTTGTAGCCCACAATTAAGAAATTCACCATGCATTTCATATGTAATGAGGGTTATTTTCACCATGATTAGGAAGGTTGGGGGGAAACCCTAAGGTTAACCAAAATACCAAGATATTCCAGATCCTCGGATTAACCAAGGTTTTCAAGATAGGTGATGACCACGAGTTATCACGTGGAACCCGATGATAGCGACCACAGGTCGCCACGCGGAAGTAAAAGACCACCACGTGTTGCCACGTGAAACTAATACGGAGTATAAGTACAGATCCTAGTCTGATTAAGTTAGTATGTGTTGAACTGTCGGAGTGAAAGGACGGGATATTGATTGAGAGAATGCCAATGTGAGACTGATTGATGTGAGAGGAAAATCACACGACGCCATCCATTTGAAGCCAAGACCAGCTGGTCCAATCTGTATGATGTCAAGGAGAAGAACCAGATACATCTGTGCAAACTCTGGTCAGTGACTGCATGAGAAACCAGCATGTTGAAGTCTGCGTAATGTGGTGTGTGAAAGCTGTTTACTAGGACAAGGACCAGACATTGTTATAAGGTCTAAGATGTCAATAAACTGATGTTTTGTACAGCTAAGTCGGTGTCGGCTTGTCCCAGTTATATCATCGTTGAATGTGTGCTAAAAGCATTCACTACACATATCATCTCCTAAACAACAGCCAGTGCAAGTAGAGTTAGTACAAACACAGGTCATTGCAACACAAGCTCATTGCATCGTATATAGTAACCCTCAATTTTAAACTTGAAAAATTTGAGAAAATATACAGACTTATACAGAGAAAGATATAGTATATAAAACAACATTACTAAAAGGACTTTTTAAACATCCTGGCTCACTGGGCTTATGGTGCCAGACTCACATTTCTGTAGACCAGTGTCTCCCAAACTTTTCTTAGTCGCTGCGCCTTTTTTAAATTAAAACTGTTCCACGGCAGTCTATCCTAAGTAAAAGTATGACTATTCATAAGTAGGAGATAAAAACAAATCACACACAAAAATCTAGATAATTTTAGCTTCTCACGTTTTTGTTTAGTTAGGCCAAATGTCTTGGTTAAATTAATTGTGAAGCTTTTTCAATATTTCGCGGCACTCCTGTGAAAAGGTTGTCGCTCCCCAGGGCGCACAGTTTGGGAATCACTACTATAGACCAATCAGCTCTTGATAGGTGATATATTTAACAAGGTAGTCTGCTACCAAACTGCTCATGGGGGGGGGGGGGGAGGATACAACCTGGCATCCCAGAACTATGAAACACATTCCCAATGTCTTAGCCACTGATGCTGACCACTTCTATTATAGCATGCTGGTAAAAATTACAGTCCCTTGTCTGACCCAAAATCTCATGCATTATCATGGTGGCTGACCACAGCCTGTTGTTGAAACCATGCCTACCAGAAAATGTGCTTTTTTTTCCACTACTGAATGTCAAATTGCCTAGTAGGCAGCCAACAAGTACTAGGTTTGTGTAATGCCCTTTAAAGGATATGAAACAAACCTTTTTTGTCACTTTAAATGTCACAAAACCGTCACCCTTAAATGTTATAGTACGAGATTATTATATTGAAAATAATATAGCTGAGACAATAAGGACAACAAAATCACAATTGTCTTAAGTTTATAGGATAGCATATTTGTGCACTGGGAGTCGCTGTGGCATAGTGGCTAGATGCTTGCGCGCGGATCGCAAGGTCGTGAGTTTGCTCCCTGGCGGAGCCAGACTTTTTTCATAAATGACCTTGACTCCCAGGTCGACCCAGACTTGAGTGGGTACCGGGTGCACTCCCGGGAAATAAAGGCGGCCTCAGAATGATGACCACATAACCCATCTTGTGCCGTTTGGTCTGCAATTTAGTCTAGCCCCATATGCCTAAAGGCATGGAAAAGGGTCCTTTACTTTTCACTTACTTATATATGTGCACTGTATAAAATAAATCTTGCCAGATTCCTCCAATATTCTCTGTCAAATTAAACAAAGTGCAATGACACAATGCTCAACAATTAATATACGTAAAGAATAAATGCAGGTTTCTATAAAAAAGTTTCCATAATTTTAAAACACTGAATGTTTGTGCCTTTTCCTACAGAAAAGCACTTTAAATATTAAAAAAATATATACATAATACAACAAAAGTATAAAGCAAACAATGACATCTTTCTTCTGACCTGGCCATAGAGTTATCGAAAATCACCAGGAACTGATTGAGAGAGATGGAGTACATCCGGTTGACCATCACCATGTCACACAACAAAAAGTAGAGGATGCTACCTCTGGAAGCCACTGGAAGACACAGGTAGGTCAGTTGTTTGAGATTTCAAAACAAAAACTGCTACTTACTGATGGTATACCTAACTCTTTCTGTCTCAACAATGCACTATACATGACTGGGTATTATTCATGTGTACCAGTCAACAAGTTGTGTACATTTGTACATCTTGTGTTTAGTGAGGGACTCTTAAGAATTCACAGGAATGGAGCAACTATGAGATGACCAGTTTGCTGTTCAGTTGAAACTAAGATTACCTGATTAAATGATTAACCTCCTTGAATATTTATAAGAATGAATTTTACACTTGGCTAACCTGGCAACTGAATGTTAAAATATTCTAGCCACATATCCTCTTTCTGCTCAAAGTTCTTGTAAAAAAAGATAACAAAATGTAAATTTTGCTCGATACACATGGGCAATAGCTGATCACACCATATGCATGGCTTTAGACAGAAAGTTTATGAATACATAGGTGAAATATGTTTTAGCTCCTTTATTTATTGCACTGTTCCACATCACATTTTCCTTTATTTTATAGTTATTCAGAATCCACACCCACCATGTAGGAAATGTTGGCTACTATATTGTTCCCTTGTTCTTGTGGTTTCTGTTTAGAAAGGCTCTGACTGAAATGTCTGATTTTTCTTGTGTGTGTACATTCCCCACACCACCACCACCCCCCCCCCCCCCACCCCATTTTCTTAAAAGCTTCTTAGTCAAGATTAGGTAGATTAATTTTCAGACATATAGTGTTATTCACATTATTATGATTTGGCTCCTAAATGGGTGACTGGTAGGTTTTATTGTGGTCAAGTCAACAGTAGCAGTGATTGTCTGCTGACTGGCCTTGGCGATCATGCCTTTCTACAATCTCCACTCTTCAACAGCATGCATCAGTTCATATGCTGACATCCCTCCATACCATGATGAAAGCTGTCAAGAATCTTCTCGAATTGCCTTTCTCTATCTCTTTTTCCAAAGACCTTTCCAGTGGTCACAACATGTTACACTATCCTTCTTCTCATAATATGACCAGTTTCCCTCTTCTTAAAAAATGATAAAAAAAATGATGACTGTCTCTCTCTGGTGACAACCATAGCTTGAGGCTAAAATGTCAAGTGACTATAGGGGGTGCTGTAGTTCTGCAGTGCTTATCCACGAGCCACCACTGCTCAAAGAGAATGATTCCAAGGACTACACACAACAAAATTTACATTTAAAAAACAGACATATTTTTTGGCATTAGTATCTAACCTGGTCTGAATTCATCTCTGGCTGTGTTAATTTCAATCTCAGTCTCTGCAGCCACTGCCAGTTTTTCTGCCACTTCAGAAGCTGTTCTCTTGGTTGTCTGTAGAACCTCTATTAGAGTAGGGTCATCAACAAGTGAACCCTGCAGAGAAGCACCAGTAACAGGATATTACACACAGCAGACAGAAAGCTCTTACTTCTGACACAAACTATAAAGAACAACACCACTATGATAAAAAGCTGTTGAAAAAAAAAAAAAGTTGAACCAATCAGCTTTACAATGTCCCAAACACAAAGAACAAGTGAACATTGTGACTAGAAAGCCTTCATCAGAGCATTACATAAATCTACAATGTCCAAAACACAAACAACAAATGAACATTGTGACTAGAAAGCCTTTATCAGAGCATTACATAAATCTACAATGCCCAAACACAAGCAACAAATGAACATTGTGGTTAGAGATCCTTTATCCCAGCATTAAATAAATCTACATTACAAAAAGTACAAACAAGAATACACAAAAATAACTTGTCCTATGTATCTCTGACAGAAATCATATTTATGTCATCACCATCATCATCATTTCTAGAGCCTTACAAACTGGTGTGAGCGATCATGCCTCTCCACAACCTGCGATCAACAGCGAGAATCAGTTTGTGTAAAGACATCCTTCCATGACATAACAAAAGACTAAAAAAAAAATGTTCTAAAGTTATCTTTACTATCTCTCTTTCCCCAAATCGTTTCAGTTGTCACATCATATTCATATTTCTATCTTCTCCTAATGCAGCCAAAAAATTATGACCATCTCTTTCAAGATCATGCAAGTAATATAAGTAAAGGACCCCTCTTCCAACGATCGGGCACATGGTGCTAGTCCCATATTTCTTACAGAAAATTGGCATTTGGTGGGTGAGGTTAATAACATCATGACAATCACCTTAACAGATAAACATAATGTTACTAGACCATAGCAGAGTGTGCAACATGTTAGCATACTAGTCAGTCTGTGTAGTAGATTATCTTCTAGTTCTTTTATTTGTCCAAGATGGAGGCATAACTCACACCAAGGCTTCCACCAGATGTCTTTTCAAAACCCAGTGCTCAAAGCCAGAATAGGGTCTAGGGCAGTGTTTTTCAACTGGGGACAAAAGAGGGGGGGGGGGGGGCAAGGAAGCTTTATTGGGGTGGGGGGAGGGGTCCTCAAGCAATTTTAAAACTGAGTGCATTTGTACTTGTAATAATCTGTCTGTTACTTAAACATTTTTTTTTTCAGTTTAATTATACATAAAATATTTTTAACAGTATTTATCAATTAAACGAAAAAACCAAGGACGATGTTGTTTTCATAAGCTGTTTCTACATCTCCTCACACATTTTTGTTCCAGGCGGGTAATTAAGAAAAAGAGAGGGGGGGGGGGGGGAAGGGTGAGGTCTTGCCATACATTTAAAAAATGGGAAAGGGGGGGGGGGGGCGTGAGGTCTTGCCATAAATTTTTAAAATGGGAAAAAGGGGGGGGGGGAGGGTGAGGTCTTGCCATACATTTAAAAAAAAACGGGGGGAGGGGGGGGGGGTGTTAACCAGTTGAAAAAAGTTAAAAACTACTGGTCTAGGAAAAAGAAAAAGAAGAAGAAGAGACAAAGAAACTGATTTTTACTATACCCATGTAGAGAGTATCATACCTGTATGCTTGTCAGTTTGTATAGCAGATTCTCCTCTAGTTCTTTCATTCGTTGTCTATTGTTTGTTACATCCATTACCAGTTTGGATCTTTCTTCCTCCAACTCCTGAGATATAAAATACAAAATGTACAATGTAATACTTCTAGGACATAAAGCCAGTACTTCACACTATTATCGTTTAAGGGGGCATACAGCCTGCAGTGACCTGTTCTAAAAAAAAAAAGTTTACTGTGTATCCTTTACAGGATGTTGCAGAACCAACACCAGCATTTTTTGGGTTGTTGTGATATTTCTAGGCAATTTTTACATTGGGTAGTCTGCCACTGCCTTCTGAACAGTCAGCTCTAGGTACCACTGTCGAAACCAATGAAAGACAAACCATCCGCAGCTAGGATTGAACCTGGCACCCCAGCATTACAAAGCGCATTTGCAACGCTTAACTGTTTGAGTCCCAGGGTGTTTTGCATCAGAGGCCCAAAGGGGGTGGGGGGGGGGGGGGGGAGGAGGAAGTTATATGATTTTGACTTTTAACAAATGCATCACTTTAAAACAAACCACACAACTGCAGCTGATGTGCAACATACACATATCATACATGAAAATAAACAAAAATAGATAAGGATTAATATTAGCATATTGCTACAACAAACAATTATACCGTTAGTTAGTATTTAGTAGAGAAAACAGTGACTTAGTTTGAGAGGTGAATAAATTATGAACAAGTTTTTTCCACTTACCCAGAAGCTGATCCCAAAATTCTTGATATAGTATATCCAAAATGCATCACAAAGGAAGGTACACCTCTTATAAGTATGCACAACCAGTATTAAAGCAAAACGTGCAATAGTTGCTGTTTCATAACAATTTTAATAACACTACCACAACACGTCAAAATATATTCTCTAGTGGCACAAACAGTGACTTTTCTAAAAACAATTGAATTCCCCACATAGGAAAAAACTGTAAAGGCACTGTAAACATGTCAACCTGTTCATAGATATATATCTATGTTTTTAGATTATATGGATAATAGTACTAGAAATGCTGACATTTGGATTAGCTGGTGTCGCGTTACGAGGTGCTTCTCTTGTGTTGCCATGGCAGAATTAGTCAGTTTTGTCCTCTTAGCAGGAGGTAAATTACGCACACATTCCTCATCAAAACTTGACCCGTCAACGGTTTGGGGAAATTCCACGTCACTACTATCATTATCCAACTCTACATTACTTTGATCGATCCACTGTTTATCAAATTTGATGATTCTAAAGCAGTAATTCGCTGTGCTGGGCGTGAAGACATATTGTTTTCAGACAATTGTTTGGTAACGTAGTAGACCACACAAATATAGATTTATAGCGTTAAAAACTCACCAGACCCAAACGAATGCACTCCACATGTGTTCACTACACACTTGAGAACCGGAAAAGAAGTTTAAATTGAGCGGTTCACGAGTAATTACAGATAAGTGGTAAATTAAAAACCGTCACCCGTCATGCGCTGTTTGGGCTGCGAGGTAGTAACCAATTAGCACGTGATGCGTTCCTTGGGACTCAAAGAGTTAGGCCACAAAAATGATGACATTCTCAAAAAGTTTAGTTAAATTCCATTCATCCTGAGAATATCTGCACAGTGTTTTAAAGACCATAAAATAAAATGGTAGTTAAAAATAGCATTTAGAGAGGTTTCCTTATTACCTCAATGGCTCTTTGAAAGCCAGATTGATGTCAAACTATCCCTGTAAGCCTCAGTGATAAAGGTCATGGACTC